GTGAATAAATATATATATAAGCTGTCACTTAGAGTTCATCAAAATACTGAAGTAGATATAATGATATCCTTATCTAATTCATGAAGAACATCATAATCAATGAAGTAGATTCTTTTACACACAACGAATACCCTTTGTACTTTTAATACCCCCTCGTAATTTATCCATGCATGAAGACATCTCTGTGTCCGTCACGATAATAAGGGGGAAAGATAGCTTAAAAATTTATTAACTGTCGCATAGAATACATTAAAATAAATGAAGACATCTCCGTGTCCGTCACGATAATATATAGGAGTAAGGAATACTAAAGTAGATTTAATGATACCCTTATCTGATTCATGGATTCCTGTGTATTAGCTTCGAAATATATTAACTGTCGCAAAGAGTACATTAAAATACATGAATACATCTCTGTGACCGTTACGATAATAAGGGGAAGAAAGGGTGAGATTTATTATGATTTATTTACTTATATGGAAGGAAGGGTGAGAACAATATAATACGATCATGGATTGTACATAAAGTACATGGTATAGATTTAAATATAAGCCGTCACATAGAGTACTTTAAAATACTGAAGTAAATTTAATGATACCCTCGTCTAATTCATGCTGCGTATTAGCCATATCCTTCACGCAGCAGTGATCAAACACGACAGTGCCTAAATTGGTACCTTTAACAGTATTAGAGAGAGCATACTCGTAATGGGCTAAACATGACGATATATACAAAGAGTGGATAGATTTAATGCTAACATGTATCATGAATCTATGTGCATTAATCATAGCCGATCTCCTCTCTTTAAAAAAATACACATGCAGATAAAGTCCAAGCATCGACATGGTTTGTCACTTCTTTTCAATGAAACCCTTTACATAAATAAACTGATTAAAAAAAAAATACACGTTTTCTAACAATCAAATAAAGCCCAAACATCGACATGTTTTGTCACTATACTCAAAGTTTATCTTTTCAATGAAACCCTTTACATGAATAAACTGATTGTTAAAAATTCGGACATACCGAAGTTCGGATGTTAAATGACTGATTACAACTTGTGTATCTTTTAAAAAAATACACGTTTCCTAACAATCAAATAAAGCCCAAACATCGGCATGTTTTGTCTAAGATACTCAAAGTTTATCTTTTCAATAAAACCCTTTACATGAATAAACGGATTGTTTTGAAATCTCTGGCATACCGAAGTTCGGATGTTAGGAGGTTAGATCCTGCCATCAAAAGTAATGAGAATTTTTTATCAAGTATATTTTTAGAATTTATACACATAGCTTTATTAAAAATCAAAACAATAAATGGGGGTCAATGCGCTTCTTTTTGCGCTTTAGAGCATTTAGTTTGACCTTTTTGCACTGAAAATGCATCTTACACATAAATCAATTTTGAAAGCTTTTCCTCCAATATTTTTTGTTCAAATAAATTATGGGAACAAAAACAGTCTTATCTAAATATTAAATAGACACATTAAAATTTGTGACAACGAAGAAATTTTCAAATTACTCCGCATGTTCAATTATTTGACCTTTTTGCACACAAACATTTCCATTTTTCTGGCATTAAAAATTTAACAAGCAAAAAAATCATTTGAAAATAATGACATTTCACTGAATTTAAGAAGAATGGTTAAAAGTATCTTATATATTCAGGTAAGAAAATTAAAAGTGGGGGTCTGTGATGTTAATTTTTAGATATTACTAAAATGGTGCTAATTTTAAGCTTAAATTAGGGATTCATGATTTTCTATAGTAAATCGAGAACGGTCATTCATTTTTAAGCTTCTGTTTACTATGAGCCTAACGTTGTGCGAATGACAAAAGACGCATTATATATATTTATACAACTTGTGTGAAATTAGGAAGTTTGTACAAGGTTAGGCTGGTACCTAAAATATTACAAATGTATAAACAGTTCAATGTTTTCCTATAGTAAACGAGAGCTATTTACCTGTATGACCTATGTTGAACCCACATGTGGAATAATTTATTTAAAATACTGATAGTAAAGTGCGTTCCTCAAAGGTGCTCACTGTATATAGCCAGGTTTTTGGAATGTATTTAGTTTTAGGATTAGAGGGTAAAAGAGAGTTTAGTGTCGTTTATAAAAGTGTCAACATTTATAACATTCATCCATGACAATGAGACGGTATTGAAGTCCATCTTAATACTCTTTTTTATTAATTTCAAAATTCAAAGAAACTAATATCAATGCTTTTTTTAATGCAAGCGTGCAATTTTCTTAGTTTAATCACTATGACTTCAGACTACTACACGTCATTTGATTTTTTTAAACAGATAAAACAGCGCAAGAATCATTTGGCAAAAGCGCCCGTCGATGATCCGCCATCAGACAGTTCAAGTGTCGATTTAAAAGTGGGATTTGGATATCTAAAAGCATTTAAAAATACCCCCCCCCCCTTTTCAAGTTGGGGTGTAATAAGATCTATCCCTAACGTCCCATACAGATAAGTCAAAAAGTGATTTATTTCTCAGGCTCAAATTTCATGCACTAGTAACTCACTTGGTAGTTTCCTCTAGTAGGACTTCTGCCGTTCTTTTCGTTTATGCATTGTGTCGAGCTGCAACTGGGAGGATCGAAATATTTGGGTCTTCTTCACCATCAGATTCGACTTCTGATCTAAAATATAAATACATATATAGGATTATTTAATAATTATTTAATCATTTCCCATCATAAACCTCTTCGTTTTTGTATCTAAAAGTTGAAAAAAGTAGAATACATACTCTCCTCTCCTTCTATCATTAGTGAGTACGTGATCTCTTTCCTTCTATCATCAGTGAGTACGTGATCTCTTTCCTTCTATCATCAGTGAGTACGTGGTCTCTTTCTTTTCGAAGGCAATTACTTTTCTTTCCATCACACTTGGTGGTGTTCACTTTGCTAATAATATAATAAAAAAAGTCCAGATTTTTACACAGAGCTCTCTCTCTCTCTCTTAATCTTTTGATAAATGATCAACAAAACAGAAAAATTGAATCTTAAACAAATTAATTTGACTAGATACATATACAAAAGTAAATACAACCTCCCTGGTTGGCTTGTACTGTTGCCAGGGCCCATTTTGTTAAAAGCGGACAGAGATGCCACATTTTGTCTTTTTAAGTAATATTTATAATCAGTTTTTATTAATAAAATTAAAACATGATAAATGTGAATGTATTTCATTTTTGTTTTTAAATAGACGTTTTGATTTACCTCGAATATCGGCAGTGGAAAGCAAGTATCGCAGAGTCGTACTAAGATCTATTTCGGTAATTAGCAAACCCTTTCAATGCGTGGAGAATTCGATTTTAGCGCGTCTGGAATCGTTTTTATACGCCTGTCTTTAGACGGGACGTATTATGTTATGGGGTTCATGTCCGTCCGTCCGCCTGATAGCTTTTCTCGTGTCCGGCTCTTAACTTTAATACTTTTAGGCCTAGGATTATCAAACTTTGTCAGCTGATACTTCTTGGGTGTCAGACTCTGTGGTATCTTTTATCTCAAGCTCACCAGAATATATCGTATAGACATAACGTCAAGTTCAGATATTGGATATATAGCACTTCGGGCGTATTTGTAGGCATGAATTAATAAAATCAACTACTTAAAACATATAAGTTTTCTTGGCATGTTTATTTTCTACCGACATACTTTGGAAATCGTATTTAGCGCTTTCGCATTTGAACAAAAAAGACAACACAGTGTCTGTCAAGTCTCTATTCGTAGGACATAGTGTCACTCTTGTCACGCTGTCAGCACCATAATGGCGGCCGACGACAACGCCGCAGAGACATAGAGCGATAACTCTGTAAAACTTGTAAAAATGAATGATGTATAGGCAAGTTGAAGTTTTTGTGGACAAACAGACAGCTAGACAGACCACCAGACAGGGCAAAAACTTTACCCCCCAAATCTTTGAATACGGGGCATTAAAATAAGGTTACTTTGCTAAATTTATATTTTATTTGTAACTTACTGAAGGGATACGAGGTAGTAAAATTGCCCAGATTACACTAGGGAAACTGCATACCTTTAGTAGCTTGTAAAAAAGTTAGGAAGCCTTTGCCTGTTATTGTCTCCTGATGTCTTTTGTTTCCTTCTGTGTACTTTAAATTCAGCAACTGTCTTCAAGCAGCAGCTGCTACAGGTTTTATTTTCCCACTAAAAAGTCCCCAACATTTCTCTCGTGTCCCCTCTTGCCGAAGAGCACTTACAAGCTAGTGGTTATCTTATCATAAAAAACAAGTTAAATACATATAATCTGATAATACAATGTTGGGTAATTTTTAACCTTGCAAGGTCACTGTAGATCAGAACGTCTCCTTGCAACTTGTTTTCATTAAAAGAATAAATACAGATAAAATTGCATATTATTTATACGACGTTTTAACATGATACATACTGCATGTTCATGGAAAACATATTTTTAAAATATTATTCATTTGAGTGGAATACTGAATTCACATTATTGTTAATTAATTCCAGCTGACAACTTGGTTTTCTATTAGGCATGCTTGAAGTGTTGGCACATGCTTCTCTGTAAATCGTGTTACTGGTACGAGAAATCCAGCATCAGTAGCCGAGTCTGTTATACTCGTGTAGTGATGCTGTAATTCAGATCTCGAACTGCACGTAAATTAACATACAATCGATCTTTCTTCTACATTCCCTCCATTTCATCTCCTTTAGCTCGCATTCAAATGACTGGGTTGCTGTTTCCATGCAGTACATATTTCCATAATATTATTTATGGCCAGTTGAATGTCTGTCTTTTTTGCATTTGCTGCACACAATACCACCAGATTCCTTGCATACTTCCTGTAAATTATTTCAGCTTCCTCTTGTAGCTCTTTTCTTTTCCTATACCTGTGGATAGAATATGATACACATATATATAATAATAAAAAAAGTTAAAATATCTGATAATTCTTTTAGGTTTTCATGCGGTTTCTGTGTCCACAAGCCTTCACCAAGGGAGAATGTTTGCTGCTGAGAGATTGGCAGACAACAGCAAAAAAAAATCCTTCCACAAGAAGCTCTCCTGCATTACTGAACATTCAGATTTTTCTGCAGTGTTCTTAGATGTGTATGTGCTTGAGACTACATACTACCAGTACCGTGCACAGTATGGAGAGTTACAGACCAACAGTGAAGAGTAGGATAGTGATATTTCTACATTTATTTTTTACTTCAAAGTCATACATGCATGTTCCATACTTTGAAATGACATAATAAATTTTCACTTCACACAATCAATGTTACAAAGTAATGAAATTATTTTTCGTGCTAGTAAAGACAAACTTCTCTCTTTACAGAAGGGACAGATATACAGCGTATCGACAATTTGTGCGTCGGTGCTGGGGCTACCTTGGTAGGAATGTAAGAGTTCCCCTACCAGCCTGTGCTGTGTAGAAGGTAAGATCTTCCTTTCAATCAGATGCTTTCAGAATCTACACTAACATGGGTATGTTATTTGTAAAAATATATTTTTTAATTTGTGTGTCAATATATTCAACATAATAAAATTAAAAAAAAGAATATATGCATTCTTAGAATTCAGAAAAAAATATTTTAAGAATATGACAGGGAAAACATCAGTCCTACAATTCAGATATTCATTTATTAATGGGATGATGACTCCTTTTGTCTCCTTTCCTTTGTTTCATTAAGAAATGAATTTGATTTTTGAAGATTTATGAGGACATAAACTACGACGTTTCACTCCAGCATTTTACATGAAGCGCATTAGCGGTAGTACATGTAATGAATTTTTTTCATTTGTCACAACGGGCCTCCATATCCCTTACCATACAGACAAAGATCCTTTCTTCTGTAAATTCGACAAACCTCTTTCAACGCCAGTTAAAAGTTATTACAAGCATTAATTTGTGCTCATGTGTGAGAGAAATTGAGATTCAGTCTTTCTTGAATACTACCGAAATCAATGGTTGCTATGATAAAAATGTAACTTCCGTTTTAATGAAGTGTGTTCGCATTATTAAAAATTCATAATATGTAAGGGTGTCAATTAGTGTCCATTTTTATACCCACCATGACTTGCGCTTTAAACAGCATGAATGATATTTGATGAAATCGAGGATAAATACGGCTGAAAATATAGCGGGATTTCATTATAATGGCGATATACCACTATTTAGAGGAATTTAAGTTTCCACCCAACTTGACCAAACAATCTCTTACCCAAACAGGATCAGAGCTCTCGAAGACTCTCAGTCCCGTTTTTAATTATACCCCCCGCAAACGAAGTTTAGGGGGGGGGGTATATTGGAATCAGCTTGTCCGTCTGTCTGTCCGTCTGTCTGTAGACGAGATTTTGTCCGGACCATTTCTTGGAAACTGATGTAAGGGTTTGTCTGAAAATTTGTACACTTATTATTCGCCATATGAAGGTGTGCACCTGGTATTTTCATCATGATTGGATAATTTTTTTTTGGCATTTTACAGGTGTTTTTTTTTTTCAATTTTATTATGTGTGCATTTTACTCAAAAAGGTAAAGTAGTAGAAATTTGTTGGATTCCAAGTCGCATTGGCACCCCTGGAAACACCAACGCTGATAGTGTGCAAAAATGGCACTTCAGTATGACGTTACTCTGATCTGAAATATTTTGTAAAACTTCCTTTTGGCAAATTTTTAGCGAATATTATGTTATACAAGTAAACTTAATGCTATAGAAAACAAATCATCTGATTCGGCTTGAAAGGTCAGGACGAAGTAATTATTTCGTCATTTCACAGGATGCTAAAGTAGCTGTGCGGTGTGGGTTAGCGCTAAGAGTTTCTTATTGCCAAATCTATCCCAAGATTGTTGTTCTGCAGGGCGCTATAACTGTTTTTGCGGCTGATTATTTGAGGTTGCATCTTTTCAAAACTGCAAGAACCCTGGAAAAGTTATCGAGGAGCTGATTTGGCGTGTCTGCTCCACAAAAAAGATCATCTGCAAGCTTGACGACTACACCTTTTTCGAGCAGGTCACCTAAAACACGGCATGTTAGCTCTTCTTAAGCTGTCACAGATCCGGACATTCCCATGGCTGAGCAGGTGTATACTTAGATGCCTCGAAATGGTTTGACGACTCCCCAGTATTTCATAGAACCTTTGCCGAGAGGGATTTGACCAGCAATCTGACCAAGCATAAGATCTAGTGTGGCTGACTTTTGCTGTGCTCTCCAGCGTTGGTTCTCCGGAATCGGGTCACCGTCCTCTTCAAAATCACGATTCGGATTAGCTTTTGACTATTTGGCCCATTTTGTGTCATGAGATAAAAATGCAGAAAAATTTGGATAAAGGGATAACAAATATTTTAAAATTTTTTTTTTGGTTTCCAGTTTTCGAATGAATTTACGGCTTCAGTTTAAGAAAGACACCATTTTTTGGGTGCTCTGTTTGTATGTGCCATGCTTGTAAAGGTAAACACGTTGTCGGGTGCGTGTAGAACTACTTACACGAGGGTCTTCGCCTTTCACTTTCAGAGACGTAGAGTCGAAGTCACTGCCACCACGCCACAACCAACGTTTGTTATAAAAAATTAACACTCAAACACTGCCTACAATAGGGATGAATACTTGCATCCCGAGCCCGATCATAAGACACACAAATAACACCTGTGTTGGCGCAGAGATAAGGAGAGCTTAGTAGAGTGGTCATTATCCATTTATTGAGCGGCGGTTACAATCATGTCTAAACAAAATTCAAAATTGGGCCGATACTTATGGTTTTAAATTTTCAATGAATAAAACCGCGTGTGTACATTTTTGTTTAAAGCGGAAAAACCATGATGATCCGAATTTGCAATTAAATGGAAATCCAATAAATGTAGTTAAAGAAATAAAGTTTTTAGGTGTCATTTTTGATAATAAACTCTCTTTTATTCCACACATAAAGATGCTCAAAGAAAAATGTTTAAAGGCACTCGATATTATTAAAGTAATAGCAAACACAAAATGGGGAGCTGATAAAAGTACTCTACTTAAACTCTATCGCTCTCTAGTAAGATCGAAATTAGACTATGGGTGTATTGTGTATGGATCAGCTAGGACTTCCTATATAAAAGCTCTTGACGCAATCCACCATCAAGGTCTTAGATTGTGCTTGGGGGCTTTTAGAACTTCTCCTAAAGATAGTTTATATCTAGAGGCAAATGAACCACCTCTAGACTTGAGAAGAATTAAACTTGCTTTACAATATATAATTAAATTAAAAGCAAATACCGATAATCCTGCTTATGACTGTGTTTTTCATCCACAAAATGCAAATTTATATGATAAAAACAAGAAATGCATAAAACCACTTTGTTTCCGATATAAAAATCATATAAGAGATTCCGAACTACCATTGGATATTGTAAAACCTTCTACTCTTTCTGAAATACCACCATGGAAATTAATTAAACCAGTAGTGAATAAATCTTTATCAGATCTTAAGAAATCAGAAACAAATCCTCTCATTTTTCAACAGAAATTAGCTGAAATAAAATCTAAACATCCTTCAAGAGAAATTTACACAGATGGTTCTAAGGACAGAAGCAGGGTTGCTGCTGCTGCATTGGTCAAAAATGATGTTTTTTCTACACGACTTCCGAACGAAGCAACAATTTTTACGGCCGAAGCAAAAGCTATACAACTTGCTTTTGAATATATAAAAACTTCTAGTGAAAATTCATTTACAATATTTTCAGACTCGCTCTCATGTTTAGAGTCCATACACAATATGAACACAAATCACCCATACATTTTGGATATATTAACTAAGTTCTATCATCTTACTCAACAAGGCAAAGAAGTCGAATTTTGTTGGATTCCGAGTCACATTGGTATTTCGGGTAATAACAAGGCCGATAGTTCTGCAAAAACAGCTCTTCAGTATGAAATTGTACCTTTTAAAATTCCTTACACTGATCTTAAGTATTTGGTGAAACTTTACGTAAATTCCCTTTGGCAAATATTTTGGGATTTTTGTGATAATAATAAACTTTATACCATACAAAACAAAGTTAATCAATCATCTGACTTTGGCCTGAAACGTCAGGACGAAGTCATTATTTCAAGAATAAGAATTGGACATTCAAGATTTACCCATTCATATTTACTGAGCGGGGAACATCAACCTGAATGCATATCTTGTGACTGTGTAATAACTATAAACCATATACTTTTAGAATGTTCTGATTTTACGCCTGTTCGAAATAAACTTTTTAATGGCGTGCAAACAATGCATGATCTTTTTACAAATGTAAATCCTAGTGCAATTTTACAATACTTGCAAGAAACTGATTTTTACAATAAGATTTAAATGTATATATTTTTATTAGCATTTTGTAATTTTCAATTTAACTGTTTTTATTTTTAAATTCCAAGTCCGTCGGATGGGACGTAAAACGGTGCCCCGTGTCAAGGATTACAACCCCCTTGGCACGCTAAAGATCGTTTCTCTGGTTTTCGAAAAAGAGTAGGCTCATTGGGGGCCGCCAGAGAAACCCAAAAACTCTCAAAACCGTTCAGACAGTATTTAATTCATACCGCCGAAATATGGCTGAAATATTGCCGACTCGGCGTAAAACAACAATAATCAATCAATCAATCATCCATTCGTCTGTCTATTGCAAATATATAAACCACTGTATACATTATCTTTACTCGATCTCCTGCCAGGTCGGTCAGTAAAACTGTATAACAGTATATATCTTAATCCAGTATTTCCTGTCAGATAATCTTTATGTATGCAACTTGCACCACTATTTTTGCAAACTTTTTTGGATTGATTAATATTATTGTTTAACGCCGAGTCGACAATACTCAGTATTTCAGCCAAATAAAACAAGAGGCCCAAGGGCCTTAACGGTCACCTGAGTACAATACAATTTAGAGGATCCATAAACTGATAGATGAAGCTTTGTTGCCCAAAAGCAAGAAAAATGGTATGATTTTCATCAACAAAATAATTGGTTTAGTATCTAATTTGTCCCTCATTTATCACTATGTCCATGCAGACTATTAACAAACTGTCCATTTTTTAACCCCATATTATAACTTTTCACATTGGCCTCTCTTGGCCTTTGAACTGTTGAAAAACAATTAAAAAAGATGTTATTTTTGTCTCAATTTTATTTATCTATTATTTCCAAGTCTATCTGATCATTAAAACTATGAAAGTACTTTTTGTTTTATACAATAAATATTCTTGCATAATTCTCTAATTCTATTAAGCATTCAAATACATTATTTACAGTGAGTTAATGGCAAAGGGGAATAACTTTGCTCAGTAGAATATAAGTTAATAGTGCACTGGCCAGGACCAGAACACTTGATTAAATGATCCAGGTGTTCAAAATTCTAGTAAAAATACCCTTGCTTATTAAAACTTTTCTCTGTTTGCCTTGAATATGCCAAGAAGC